AGGACTACAAGAAAGCTGGGGGGGCTTTTCCAAGGGCAGGGAGTGACAGGACAAGGGGTAACGGGTTTAAACCGATTAGGGAGATTGAGATGGGATATCAGGAAGAAGTTCTTCCCGGAGAGGGTGGGGAGGCACTGGGACAGGTTGCCCAGAGAAGCCATGGATGCCCCATCCCTGGGAGTGTCCAAGGCCAGGCTGGATGAGGCTTGGAGCAACCTGGTCTAGTGGAAGGTGTCCCTGCCCATGGCAGGGGATGGAACTGGGTGAGCTTTAAGGTCCTTTCCAACCCAAACTGTTCTATAGTCCTCATCCCTCAGCATCCAGCACGCTAACTTTAAGAAAAGCTGTGTGTACGTTGCACAGATCAGACACCTGCTAGCCAGCAGTCTCTGACATAGGCTCCTTAGCAGTCAGTCATAAACATGCAGAGTTCCTGGGGCAGAGCTGGAACCTGTCACCTACTGAATCCTGTCAGCTCCTGTACCACCAACTCGCCTCACCTAGGCTTTCGTTCTCTTACCAGAGAAGCCCTTCTCCTAGCGCAGCCCCCAGCGCCAAGAAAAGCTGGAAACTGCTTCTTTCCCCACACGTCTCTTCAGCATTCTGTAGCGTAGGCCGTAGCTCTAGGCTAGGAGATGGGGAGATTGGGTGACTCGCTCTGAACAAAGGTGTGTGAAGCCTGTCTGGATCGCAGTCGGAAGGCCTGACTCTCGCCCCTAGCAGCACACAAAGCAGCTAGTCCCACAAGCGTGGGTAGTCTTGGCAAAGACGACGCAGCAACGTCGCCTTCAGCGTGCGCAGGATGACTGTGCTCAGCAGAGGGCCCCTGCAGGGTCCTGGGTGCCCACAGCTCTTCTGTTCTCTCCTGTTGTCGATGGCACTTTCCTGCCGTGACTGCGCGTGCTTCAGTAACAACAGTCAGCCCGGGATGGTGCTGACCTCTCTCGTCCCATGTGCCTGGTCCCGTTACTGTTCTTGGTTAATCTGAAAAGCTTTGCTGCTATTCAGCGGTGTTTTCTGGATAGCTGCAATTTCTGACTGTAAGCAGAAAAAAAATGTGTTGTTTTGGGTAAATAAATAGTTTTGATGCAGCTGTAACAGCGTATTAACAGAAACGGTCGTTCAGGTAAAGCGTTAACATTTGTAACCTGAAGGTCTGTCTGCTCAGCTAATTGAGACCGTACCAGCTTCCTCCCGTTAGGTATGCAAATGTGCGTCTGACTGAGAAAGCCAGGATGCTTCAACTCTCTGAAGCTGTTCAGTGAATCTGGACTTGGAGGAGGGCGGCGCAAGGGAGACACGAAAGGGAATAGCTATTTTGGCTTGATCAAGGAGTAGCTCTTCTGACTTGGTTGTGCTTTTTTACTGACGTACAGGTGCACAGGCACTTGTTCACCCGAGTGTCTCGGGTCAGGGGAGGGGGGAAGCTGACTTCATACATCATGTTGGGTTTTGGGTATTAACAGTTTGGCTAAACTTTGCTTTCCCTTTGCTTTTTTAGGCATCGGTAGAGTTGCTGCTACATCTCTAGGAAACTTAACAAATCACAGTTCTGAGGATTTACCTCTTCCTCCTGGCTGGTCAGTGGACTGGACTATTAGAGGAAGGAAATACTATATAGACCATAACACTAATACAACTCACTGGAGCCATCCGCTGGAGCGTGAGGGGCTGCCTCCAGGATGGGAGAGAGTGGAGTCGGCAGAATTTGGAGTGTATTACGTAGATCACGTCAATAAAAGGGCTCAGTATAAGCATCCCTGTGCTCCCAGGTAAGATGTCTCTTCTGTCTTTGTGTTTTTCTTAGTCCAGTTAAGAAAGTGGAACTGGTTTTGTCTTGTGTGTAATGTGCCAAAACCGTCTTATTTTTAGAAGGAAGCTTCACTGGTTCTTGACGAAGATTTTTAGAAGTTGTAATTGTTAGGTTTGTGTCTCGTCTGTTACTGTCTTTAAGTTTAGAAACAGGATGTTGTTCCTAACTCGCTGAAATGAAGCAGCTGTTCTCATCGACTGTCAGTAAAACAGAACTGGTGAGAGCAGAATGGAATTGCAGGCTGATGGGGTGTTCCTGGAGACTGGCTGCGGAAATGGCACGACCCATCGGCAGCGTGAACTGAGTCTTGTCTAGATTGAAAATCGGTGCTTTAGGTACTCGTAATTTAAAGGTGAAGTTAGGATACGCCAAGTCTGCCCGGTAGTTTCAGCCACTCTGTCTGTTTTGCTGTTCCCCGGGATAAGGAGGTTTCTTAACGTGTGGCACAGCAGATACACATATGAGGGTGCCCTTTGTTACGGATGGAGTAACTTACAAGCTGCTGCCCAAATAGGATGGAGTAACTTACCAGCTGCTGCCCAAAACACAATAAAGGGGCATTATTTGGCTGAATCAACACTTGCCTTTTCAGCCTTTTAAAAACAGCTATCACTTTTTGTTCTGCTTTGGTGGGTGAATAGGCCTAAGGCGACTTTTAGCGCACCAGCGGGGAGCAGCAACACCATCGTGACGGCGGCGAAGCACGGAAATAGCAACAGAAAGTTGCTCTCGCCGTGAGGCAGCGCTCCACGTGCGGTTGCATCGCCGGGCTTTGCGCGTGTTGACTTGTGTGTCACTGTGAACAGTTCGGTGGTATCGGTGCGTCCGAGTTCATCCGCGGAGGTCACGGACTTTGTCTTCCTTTGGGCAGCGTTCCCCGTTACGACCAGCCTCCCCCGATGACGTACCAGCCGCAGCAAGCCGCGCGAAGCCAGCCTCTCCTCGTCCCTGCAAACCCCTACCACACTGCGGAGATTCCAGACTGGCTGCAGGTCTATGCCAGGGCTCCTGTGAAGTGAGTGTTTCCTGCTGCCCGCTGCGCATGCCTAGCTCGGAAGGAAAAGCCGTGAATTTTGATGACTGCAAGTAGAGTTGTAGCTGGTTTCCGTTTCTTAATTACGTAAAAACAGTGGTGCCATTGGTTTGGCATTGCTTAAAATCATCACAGTGCTTCTTGCGGGTCACGTGACTTGCAGGATGACGTATTCGAGAGCTGAGGATGCAATTTGGTTTCGGAGTGTTTGGGAGAACGGTACGGTGTGGCTTAAAAAATACGCAGGATATTTTTAGGGGGTTAAATTCTTACTCCTTTAAAAAAAAAACCCTTACGAATTCTCCTTCGCAGTTAAGAATTTTGAATACAGACTGAAATCTATCTTTCCATTCCAGAACTTGAATTAACAACTCAGTGGTAGACAAAGTCATTTTTTTGCCAAAGAAACAATGCCCAGGAACAGGAATTCTCCTCCAAGAAAGGGATTGAGTCAGCACAGTGAAGCCAGTGGCAGTTTCTACTGGGTACAGCTCTGCAGAAGAGTAACACTAACAGAAAGGCAGTTAAAAAAAGGCAGAGACGTTTTATTAATTAGGAAACTGTGCTTTTTCATGGGGAGGATATGGCCAAACCCTCAGAGCAGAGAGCAGATTGGTCTGTAGTTGCAGATTCAGCCTGTGTAGGATGTGCAGCAACTTCCAGCTAAAAAATCCTTTTTATTTCTTTTGCTGTTTCTAGCAACTGTAATTTGAGTGGGTTTTATTACTTCTTGTGGCTCTGGGGCTTGCCAGCAGCCCGTAAAGATTTGATTTGGCCTAAAACCCACCAGTACGCTCCTGCACCGCAGCGTGCTACGTTTCTGTAAGCTATGGGAGGACGTGTTTCCTAGGAATACTTCTAGCTTTTGGCTGCAGCTGCATTTCTTTATTTAGGTCTTTGGCACACCCCGGCAGTGAAGTTCGAAATCCTGCAGCCTCTGCTGTATGGACTGTTGGTGGTGCTTCTCTTGGAACTTGAGAAACAAATTTCATAGAATCATAGAATCACTAGGTTGGAAAAGCCCTTAGAGATCATCCAGTCCAACCGTATCTGTCCACCACTAAACCATATCTTTCAGCACCTCATCCACCCGTCTCTTAAACACATCCAGGGATGGTGACTCCACCAGCTCCCTGGGCAGCCTGTTCCAGTGTGTGATAACCCTTTCGGTGAAGAACTTCTTCCTTACATCCAATCTAACCCTCCCCTGGCGCAGCTTGAGACCATTCCCCCTCGTCCGATCATCTGTCATTAGGGAGAAGAGACCAACACCCACTTCTGCACAACCTCCTTTCAGGGAGTTGTAGGCAGTGATCAGGTCTCCTCTCAGCCTCCTCTTCTCCAGGCTAAACAAGCCCAGTTCCCTCAGTCGCTCCTCATAAGACATATTCTCCAGACCCTTCACCAGTTTTGTGGCCCTTCTCTGGACACGCTCAAGGACCTCAATGTCTTTCTTGTAGTGAGGAAGACAATTTAAGACAATTTAAGATTATTGGGAATACTTTTTATACCTGGTAGGCTGAGACAATCTAAAAAAAAAAACCAAACCCTTATTTAATTCATTCAAGCTGTTGAATAGAATTTACGTTGTTCAGAGGAATCAAAAATCATGTGTTCTCCCGTGTCCTCTTCGCCTCCCGTTCACGTAGCGCTGGTGGTAATGGGAATATTGTAATCCTCACGTGCTTCCGTGAGGCAGTAAGTTCTGGTGTATGAAATACTCTATTGGAAGAGTGAGGACGCGTGGCAGTGGCTGGCTTAGCGTCCCCACATCTTCAGGACTTCTTAAGGAAACACTTGATAACTAATTTTCACAGTTATTAAAATCAAGATCACTTATATTTGCCATGTAATTTTAATAATGAACCTCCGTTGCCAAAGCAATGGGCTTAGGGCTTGAGGAGGAACATCCAGCACTGCCCGTCCATCCTTGGGTAGCGTTGTCCAGCGCTGTGAATGTGTGGGATGTACGATTATGTATGATTTCCAGAACGAGGTAGTCACGGTCCCTGTACCATCCGAGGAGGATGGGCAGCGAGCAGAGTCTTAGCACAGTGGATCCAGGACGCCTGACCTGCGCTTAACCCTTCGCTAGGCTCTGGAATGTTTCGCCACCCTGCGGGCTGGGTGGGTGTTCCCACCGCTCGCCAGGCTGCATGCCTGGGCCTGGGCGGAGACCAGAAACGCCTGGCTTTTGTTAGAGATCATGGAGTCATGGATGGGTTGGGTTGGAAGGGACCCGAAAGATCCCCCAGTCCCCCCCCCTGCCACGGGCAGAGACACCTTCCACTAGACCAGGTTGCTCCAAGCCTCATCCAGCCTGGCCTTGGACACTCCCAGGGATGGGGCATCCACAGCTTCTCTGGGCAACCTGTCCCAGTGCCTCCCCACCCTCTCCAGGAAGAACTTCTTCCTGATATCTAATCTAAACCTCCCCACTTTCAATTTAAACCTGTTACCCCTTGTCCTGTCACTCCCTGCCCTTGGAAAAAGTCCCCCCCAGCTTTCTTGTAGCCCCCCCAGACACTGGAAGGGGCTCTAAGGTCTCCCCGGAGCCTTCCCTTCTCCAGGCTGAACACCCCAACTCTCCCAGCCTGTCCCCATGGCAGAGGAGCTCCAGCCCTCGGAGCATCTCCGTGGCCTCCTCTGGACTCGCTCCAACAGCTCCGTGTCCTTCTGCTGTTGGGGCCCAGAGCTGGAGGCAGAACTGCAGGGGGGTCTCCCCAGAGTGGAGCAGAGGGGCAGAATCCCCTCCCTCGCCCCCCTGGCCACGCTGCTCCTGATGCTCCTGCCGTTGTGGTCCACATTGTTCCCTCAGCTCCTTTGGAACAAGGACCTGAACCTTTCTTCTTCCAGCCCTAACCAGGTGGCTGTTAATAGTCAGGGCAGCGTCTTCTTGTGTTGAAAGTGTCTTGTTTTGTATTAAATAATTGCCTGCTGGGAGGCCCCCTGGGGACAGGCTGTGCTGCCTAGTACGCTCCTGCTTCCTCACCCTGGAGGGAAGGCTTCGTTCCCTGCAGGAATTCTGGACTACAGGCTTTCTGCCTTGTTTCTGGCTGTGTGATGAGCTGCCCTTCTAAAAAATGCCCCGGGAGCCCGGGCCCAGTACTGTTCCCACTCCACGTCTGTGGTGAGCGTTCCCGGACCACGATCCTTTTCGGACCTGCAGGACCGCATGTGACGGAGCTTTGTTTTCTGTCCTGCTCCTGTCGCCACCTGACCAAGAAAAGGCCTTCCGCTGAGAATCGGCCTTGCCACGGAGCGTATTCCGAGAGGTGCCGTTGGCCCGGGGCGTCTGAAAGGATGCGTCGGCGCGGGGCAAGCCGGGGGGAATCCTGCTGCTATTTAGGTCCTTCAGATGGCTCAGGAGCACCTTCCGTAGTCACCTGCTTGTCTTGGTGCCGCTCTGCTGCCTGCACCCTCCCAAATACATCTTTTTCAAGACATCATGTAGTTTATTTGCTTAAATTTACTGATATTTTGGCCTCCACTTAAATTTACTGATATTTTGGCCTCCACTCAAGTATTTTCTCCTGTAGTTCAGTCGGATGAAATAACTCTGTGAGTTTTGTCTGGTTTTTAGTAACTGCAGCAGTCGGCTGCCTGTCTCTGGGTTAAGAAACACAGATGGCCGATGAATCACGTTCAGAAGCCGTGGGGAAGAGCCGGCAGCGGGGGTGCCACCGGGATGCTGTAGCCGCCCCGAGGCTTTGCCGACATAAAGTAGCATTAAATTGCCTATTGCAGAGGGATTTCAGACAAAATCAAGATGACAGCTGGCTCAGGGAATCGCCATCCCCTCACCTTGCTCAAGAAATTCTGCGGGTTGTCCTCTTCCTGGAGCTGGCCAGCGCACTCGGGTCCCCGTTCCGGGGCCAGCTGCTCATTTTGGGGTGAGATTGCTGAAGTTCTGTCTCAGGCGTCTCTCCAGGTTTAGGCAGATCCGGCTTAGCCCAGATATCGCCCCTCAGGAGCACGAGCGGTGCCTAGAGCTGCATCCTGCGTTGTTTCCGCGTCCCTTGTTCCCTCCGAGCCTCGGGAGGCGTCAGGGTGCGGGTCTCTGCGGGGCTGTCGGCTCACGTCACCCTGCCAGACTTCTCTGCCCGTCGTGCTGAGGGGGAGGAGACCCCAAAGGGGGCAGCCTGCTCGAGCCTCGGGGTCTGGCTGTCTCTCCGACGCCGCGGTGGCACTTCACGTCAGCCTCCGGGGGCCCTTAACGCGTGGCGTGAGCCGGGCGCCAGTCAGGAATTGCAGGGAGGTCACCAAACCGGTTGCCGGGCTGCTGGCCCCATCCCGGGGTTTTCCTGAATTCCTTCACTTACAACTCCTCGAGGAACGTCCTGAAAGGCAGCGTCTCCCACAGCTATTCCCCGCGGGGTGGCGGTTCTGGAGATCGGGCCGCGAGCCACAGACCTTTCATCCCACCCCTGTGGAATGACCGTGATTCCGTTGAAAAACGTGGTTAGAAATACAGGTTTTTCTACCAGGATCTTGGAAACCTTCTCCTACTACTGGCACAAAAAGGGGTCCAGTGAAGAGAAATGCTTTCTGGAGTAGTTTGGAGAGCTCATGTGTAGAAGTAGACACCCAGGAGAGCGAAGCTGGGAGATGCCGCGCGTTGTGCCTGGTGTAGGGGGCTGTCGGCGCTGGCTGGGAACAATTTGGGGAACGGTTTGGGGCATGACAGCGAGCGACCAGTTAAGGTCCCCAGCGAGCACACCTCCGTTAGGAAACTGGCCTTCGACTGAGCGGTCTGCGTGCTGGCAGCCCTCGGGGCGACGGGTTTACTCGTGGAAAATGCCTTGCAGGAGGAACGGGATTAGTCACAAAAGGGGTTTGGCAGTTAGGACATAAAATGCAGCTTTTGGGAAGCTGCTTCAGCCCTGCAGAGGGGCCTTGAGGAGGTGGCTCTTGCAGCAAGTTTGTACCTACCTGATGCCCAGAGTCTGGACACGGGAGCACGTTAGTGTTTGAGAAATGGGAGGA